TATATATATATATATATATATATATATATATGTATATATATATATATATAAAATCTGTGTGTTTTAAAGCTTCTGGTTCATTTCATGGCAATATTTCTGTAAGTTGTTTCTTGGTCAAAATTATCTTAGTGGTTTTAGGAGTTTGTTTATTAAAAGCGCACAGAACACATCCTAGATGTGTAAATCAGTACTTTTACTAATTAAACTAATAATTTTAAAATGTGTGAACTATCAGTGTATTTAAAACAGTTGACGTGATTTGAATTCATGTTCATGCAAGTGATTAAGTGCAAAAAAGGAAGATCAAACAATATTGCCCATGTCTTTACAAGTACTTGTATGCAGCCTGTGAGTGAAATAAAACTTTCTGTTAGGCTTTCTCCTGCCAGTGAAGCCAGAATCATAGGGTGGTTTCGTTAGAATTTGCAGATGTCCATCTTCTTCTAAGGCTGACTTTTACATTGCTCTTAAAAATGAGATGGCTAGCATTAGTCCATGCATTCCTCCATATATCATATTCGTTCCCAGTACACAGTAATTAAAGCCTTTGCTGACCATGTAGACCTTTAACCATCTTTTTTCCAGTCTGTTTTATGGCTTAGCTGTACACTAAGTCTTAATTTGCTTATCATTTTGACATTGATTTGTAACTGAATCCACATAGTCTTAATTTTAATTGAATAAGACTGAAGAGGAAAAAACCAAATTATATGGGAAATGCCAGATGGATTGTTGCAAGCCTGCTCAGTCTGGAAATCTAATGCCCTTTTGAAATGCATGTGTAAGCTGTGGGACTTGGTCATTTACAGATATGAAGGATGCATAAGCCTTTCTCTAGAAGTCTCTTATTTACAATACAAGAAACATTAGACTAGTCTGAAACTAGACTCACAAGTTGTAAGTAACTGTCTAGGAATCATTCACACAGCTTTCTTGTACAGTTCTAGCCCAGGTAGCCGTACAACATTACACAGATGCTCTGATTTTAGACTTGGGAAGGTTTTGATACAGACACTCTTTCCCTCTAGTTATTGCCACCATCTTTATGTAGTCATTGACTGTATGGCAGTATCCAATCAGTTATTTTCTGTGGGATTTAAAGATACCTATATCTATAAAGTTTGGAGCCTCTACGTAGGTCAGCCTAACTTCTGGGTTCACATGAAGCCTAAATGCATGGTGATGATGATGCCCATATGTCTTGAAAGTAATCAGGATTCCTTCTAAGGATTTGGGTTCAGTGGAGAAAGGATGTGGTAATAGTCAGGTAATGCCTGAAAATAGATGCGATAGATCCTAAGGCTAATAAAGACTGGAGCATTGATAAGTTACAGGGAAGCATCAGTGTTGTGTATTTATACCATTTTGATGGTCTAGGACTTCTCATAACACTTTGTCTTTTTTTCTATATGTAATACAGACTGCAGATGATGTAGAAATTGGTTTTGAGGCGGTGAGAATAACATGGTAGAAAATGTGGAGGTGGTAGAGATCAGATAAGGAGAGGGAGAAGTTGTACATATGTAAATTAAGTTGTACCTTCACTGAAGAGCAGGCTTTTTCATATGGCTGTCCACTTTAGAGTCATTACACTTTCTGAAGTCTGATGTTTGATTAGTATTTTATATGACTCTGTATCTGCAAAGTATCTAGTAAAAAGTTTGAGGAAAGTTGGTTGTGTGAACTTCTGTTTGTTATATCTGCCTCTGCATGTTCCTGTGTAATTTATTTCCCACACATACCTCCTTAGCAAGCACAAAAGAGATAGCTCTTCCCTTTTGCTTACTCAAGTCACTCCCTGTTGGTCACTCCTGTCTCTTCTTTGTGTCAAAACTGGGCTACAAACATCAGGGCTCGTAAACTCATTGCACTTCCTGTTCAAGGAGATAGGTCAGGAAATCCAGGAGATTATAGACTAAACTCTAAGGTTTCCATTAATTGAGATTCATTTTGGATTCTAACATGGACTCTTTTTGAAGGGATATGATGGGCAGTACAGCCAGGTATGTTGTTGAAGTGTTGGTTTAGAAATTCTAGAGAAGGTTCTAGCAAGATGACCATTCTCCTGGAAAGAACAAAGGGAAGTGAATCATTCTCCATCTCATCCAGTTAAATCATGTTTACCAATATCAAGCAATCAATTTCATATACTTAGTTCTTTGCAATGAAGGTTCTTGAGCACAGGCTTAATCTTGGTGATGATGTGCTGAAGTGTGTTGGGAGCACTTACAAGTTCCTTTATGATGTTGCTGCAGCTGGGAGCTCTAACAGGAGGGCTGTAGCTATTTAAAGAGTTCTGCTAAAATTGTTAGAACCCATCTGTCTATGCCCTGTGTCTAGCTGTGACTTTCAGAAGACCTACACCTAAAGAAGCACTCAGCCCACAACCAACGTAGCTCATGAAACCAGGTTTTGAAGCCATGGAGAAATATTCCTATCTCAAGTTGTAGTTAAGAGAGCCTCTATGGCCAGTTGTAGATGGAGCGAGCTCCAGGCTTTCCTAGTAATGTTTTTCCTCACCTAATGGCAGGATTCTGGTTCTGTGAGTCCTTCTATTTTCCTGTAAGCTACCCTCTCACCCAGAGAAACAGTTTGTTTTAGATGCTAAGAAAGCCTTAAAATTTAGGGATCGGATTGTAATAATACAGGAAATCGCTTCCACTGTTTCATTCCAATGGATTAAATAATAACAGCTAAGTAATAGCATCTTACTGCTTTCTAGCTGAGGTAGACTTTGTATTGGAGGTGGTTGTAAGCACAGTTATGTTCCTTTTTCCTCAGAAGGTTTACAACAGAGATTGCTTTCACAGCTTGTCTTGTGCAGTCCACATCTTACAAATCTGTAGACCTGTTACTAGAAGCTCAGTTCTTACTTACACAAAACATATCTAGGTTGGATGCACAACTTAGTTAAAAAAAAAAAATTACGGTCTTTATGCCAAAGAAAAAAAGGCTTGCTTACCAAACTCCTTAAAGTAGGAATGCACAGAGGACAGTGGAGGAAAGAATAAATATTACTTGCTGTAATGTGGGTGCTTCCCTTTCTTGAGCTGTATTCACAACTTTGGGTTTGTTGAGCATCCTAGAGGAACTGAAGTTGTGTGTGTGCTACAAAGAGCTCTTCCTGCTGCATGTTTGGCACCAAAAGGGAAGGGACAGAAGGTGTGAAACTACTCTGAAAAGTATTTTTCCTCAAAGGTTCCTTGGCTCCAAAAACCTGGCAAATAATTCCTTTCATGTCTCCTTCTACTCTGTTTATCCCTATAAGCATCCATCCTCTTATGAATATGAAAAGCACCAGCTGAGCAAGATATTTTTGTCATCCTTAACACAGCTTTAACACTGGCAGAAGAACAAAAATGGAGACACAGAGTGTCATTTAAAGTGCTAAGAGACACTGCCTGGGCTGTTCTCTTTTATCCTCTGTTTCCAGAGAAGTCAGCTCAGGGTTCTTGCTGTATTTCAGTTCTAGTCTCTAGCAAGGCTCTTGAAGCAGTCTCTACCTCAAGGCTGGGGGTAGTCCTGATTAGGGTAGTTAGTAGATGTCTTGTATCTGGGTGGAAAAGGAATCCACTTTAATGACTAGCATCTTCCTTAACCAAATCTCGCTGAGAATAAGGTGACCTGTGGGACATTGTGTTTGATATGTGTATGTCCTTTGCAAATTACCTTGTTATAAATGCTGTAACTGTGTATTTTTGCTATGTTTACAGGGGTGACCCATCAATTGTGAGACTGAATATTGCTATTACCACAGGCTACCTCATTTCTGGTAATTACGCAACTCATATATGACATGCAGCTGTATATTTATATTGAGTCACTATGCCTATATATTTATACTGAGCCAATGTGCTGGAGATACGATACGTGTATACAATACTGTTTCTACTGTGGCTTTTAAAATTGCTAATGGAGTTGTGGGTTGTGGTGAAATCATCGGATCTTGTCAGTGGATGTGAAAGATGAAATGATTATCTCCCCAAGCACTGAGGAAATGCCACAGTGTGGTTTTATGATGGTTTGATACACAACCACCAACTCCAGCTCAGTTTTGTCCTTCAGCCCGTTGAGAAGGTGTTAAATCAGTGCTGTTCACTCCCTTCAGGGTGACTAAAACTTGTAGCTCTTTTATCATATGTTTCTTCCTGTGACCTCAGAATGCTGGCAGAAGAATTTTAGTAACCCTCAGTACAAGCTGAGGCAAATGATGCCATAGGATCCTGCCTGCCCACCTTTTAGTCTCACTTCAAGCCAAAATTTATTCATGTATAAAACATGGAAATGTTTAATTATTTTCTTGGTATGGCATTTACCCCTACATATGTTGTGTTCTTAATTACCTACTGTCAACTAAATTTGGCATGGGAATTTTGCTACAGAATGCTTTGGAACTTTCTTTTATGGTGTGTGTGGATAATACTGACTAATCAAAGCAGAAACTTGTTGTGACTTGGACTATTTTCAGGGAAGACTTCTCATGTTAGGATGGAGTCCCTAGTCAGAGACAGGGCAGTGGATTTATCTCTCAGACTAGATTTCTCACCCCAGTGGAACTGATAATCTTGTGATCAGCATACTCAGTCAAACTGGGGGTTAGTTTAAGTCTCTTTTTCCCGTAAGAACTTCAGCTCTCATGTTTAAATTCATTGGCATCTATTTTTGAATAATTATGCATTAAAATTTCATTATGAATTAATGAATGCCTTTGAACAGAGACCTGAACCTGGCCACTCATTCTCTCTCGCTTCCTTATATAGTTAATGTTTAATTATTAATAGGAAGTGGAGCGGCTATGTCAGATGATATAGAGTCCTGCTTGAGGACAGCTAATACAGAAGCGATCAAGGTACTCACTGGAGATAACAAGAGACACAAGGGTTGTCTTTGATTTGGAACCTTGGTCACTAACAGTCCAGTCCAAAGTACTCATTTGGATAAAGTAGGGGTTGCTATTGCTTGTTCTAGTACAAAAGATAAAATATTCTGAAATCTCAGACCATCATGGGAAAAGAAAGAACTCTTTTGTCAAAGCTTTCCTTATAACATTGACTTAGGTCCACTATATCACTTTGCAGTCACTGGAAAATTCTGATTAAACAAACGTGCTTCTAATTCCAAGTGCCCCTTGCAAAATACTTCTGGTAAATGTTTGCTAATAACTGTTTGCTAATATAACTACTTTTTGATCCAGAGGTTCCCTGTAATAGAACCCTGCCTTCATTACATGTATTTGTAGGCCCACCCCCACCTTGCCATGAGATTTGGGGTTCACTTTTTCCTTCCAAAATATTTCGCTAAAGCTATTACTTTTGTAATTCTATTGATGTGGAAGGTAGTAATTTATGGCAACTTGGAAGAATACTGTGCTTAATGCTTTGACTAAAGTAGAGTCTTTAGGATAAAGATGTTTTCTTCAGAGATAATTCAGAGAGTTTCTATTGATGCTGCAAATTGGCATTTATACCACTAAAACGTAAAGAAACACTATATTTGAGGTCGATGGTAGTGTAAATTGTTCTTTATCATTGTTTTCTCTTGTAGATTTGTTGCTTATTATTTACTACTGGAAGGCAATTGGTGACAAATTTTTTGTAATACATCACTTGGCAGCTCTGTATGCTTACTATTTTGTACTGGTGAGTGCTGTTTTTTTCAGTAACATAACAAGCAGATGAGATTAAAGACAATGCTTTTATAGATGTAATTTGCTTAGTGTTTAAAAAAATTATTCATTGATTGGTGTATTAGCTTTGTGAAAGGCATATTTATATTCTCAACCATCATTACTTTCTAAATGGTTTTACCAGTCATTTGTGGTAAGCGCATGCCTTTTTGATGTAACAGTCCTTCAGCAAAAATCTGTAAATTCTTTAACTGCTGAAATTAAAACTCTTCTCAGTTTTTGCTGTAGAGAAACTTTGACAGGGGGGCTTTTCACATGGTTAGAGAAAGGGTTTAAGATAAAACCACAAGTCTGAATATGTAGGTGGGAAGTTGGAAATAGTTTCGAGTGGTTCTGTTCTGCTTGTGATTGTATTTGCAAGGCCATATATCAGTGATTTACTCTGGTGAATGTACAACAATCAGTTGGGTGTGTTTTTTCTCAGGTGGTTTTTTTTTTATTGTTATGACACAAATTGATCCTCTGAGACCTCTTTTTAACTTACTTGGGTGGGGAAACGGTGGATGATTAATTGTATATATCTATAAATATCTGTGGTGTATGTATATTGAAGGGAAAATGGAAAGAGAGGGATGCTATTCTAGGTTAAAGACTAACTTAGTTACTCTGCTGCTGGAATTTCTCAAAGATGCCCATGTGACTTGGTAGAAATCCCATTGACCTCCAGAATAATGCTCCTGATTTTTTTCTGAAAAGCTCATTCAGTAAATAAAGAAATCTTATAAAACACAACTTACTTCATTTACCACATTTCTATCCCTGCCTACTGTATCAATCCTAGGCTTACAATATTAAAAGTGTTTAGATTCCAGATTACTGTCAGATTTCCCATGTAATGGTTTAAAGGGGATGAAGTACACTGAGAAGTAAATACTCTGTTTCAGGTTGAAGATAATTAGATCTACTGATGTTATAATGAATGAAAGTGAATTAGGGCTGAATATTAGAGAAATAAAAATACCACTACCAAGGCTAATTCCTGATGCAGAGAATTCTTTAGTTTTTCTGGAGTAAAGTACGTAGTTTTAGTGTGAACTTCTTTTGAAGCAGTTATTACTATTTGGATACAGCTCTGCCCTTGGATGTCTCTGTGTTACTCTCATTCTCTTATCTTCAGAAAAAGTTACTTATAAGTATCTTATTTCAAAAATTGCTCTTGAAGATAAGAGAGAATTTGATTAAGAACACAGATTTTCTGTTTGTAGTGCAAACTGACATGTGATGCCTGAGGTAGTGGGTATTAGCACATTTGGTGGGGGAAAGAGGAATCGTGACACACTGTAGGTTGTTCAGGAGACCTACTGAAATCTTTTTATCTCTACATCTGCAAACTGCTGCTTACCCAGCCATTGTGTAGTGGGATACTATTTCCAGCACAACCAAACGATATGGCAGAGAACTGCTCTACTTTGTCACTTGGAGGAAAGTGCTCAGTTACAACATGTATCAGTGTAAATGTATCACACAGTTACCTGGATACTGGCACGGAGATGTGCTCTTCTTCCAACCCACAGGGCATGGCAGGGACTGCAACAGAGCTAGTGGAAAGGGTTTCCCCTGCGGTGGGGAGGAGAGCGAGCTTCATGTGCCCTTTCTGCTGCCAAGAGCTGGGAATTCATCATCACTTTGGCAACTTATGTTCCTAAAACAATTCGGAGACATTTTTCTTTAGCTTTACAGTGCTTCTGTTTGAGCTTGTTTAAACACTGGGAAATCCAAAAATGTTTATAATCCTCTTAGACAGTAATAGTATCATTATAATTATAACCTATGACTACTTCTGCCAGTCTAGCTAGCTTTCCATGGCCACTCTACTGTAAGTCTTTTAAAGATTTATTTAAAGTAAGAAACTACTGAAGGACAATTGCAGCTTTTGTAGTAAACTTCATTTTGAAATTGTAAGGAAGCTGGCTACAGCTTGCAAACTTGCTTACTATCAGTTTTAATAAAGAAGTTGAGATGTTGTATTATTCTGTGTGTACTTAAAGGTTTTAACGATGTAAATGTGAAATCTTGATTGATTTTTTTGTATGTCTGTTTTGTTTTGCTAACCAGAGCAAAGGTTTGTTGGCTTATTTTGGAAACTTCCGTCTGCTTGCAGAATTCTCCACTCCTTTTGTCAATCAGCGGTAAGTGGTTAGGGAATTTTTGCATAGTTGTTTTAAATTTTCATATGTATTGTTATTTCTGTCACTTAAGAAGGGTTTTTTTTTGTTGTTGTTGAATGTCTGCTGAAAGTGAATTTATATGTATTGAAGTTAGTATTACTATGTGGAAACCTTTTTGGCTATGAAAACTTTTTGCTGCTATAGCTGCAACAGTATAACTAATGTATTCACCCCCGAGTTCCTTTTTGGGGTAGACCAGCCTTCATACAAAAGACCAGATTTTTATGAAACTATTGAACAAAAAAAAGTTCACTAATATTGTTTGTTAGCCTTTGTATGATCATTTAATTGTTATAATAAAGCCATCATTTTCAATAGGGATTTTTGTTAGTATCATGGACCAGGAAAAGATAACATTGTCATCAGAATCCTAGAATGGAATTGCATTGCCCTAGATAATTTGAAGTTTATTTTGCAGTACTGCACGTACATAGATCAATATTAATATATGCATATAAATAGATAGAATAATATACATTTATATTCTATATTTACTTTCAAAAATAAGTGCTCAAAATAATTTCCAGAATTTAGAAAAATAGTGAAGCACCTAAATATATCTGGAATGGTTAATCTTCACACTTGTGATCAGAGAAGAATGTGGCAGAGGGCTCTTTTGCAGAGTTTAGTGAAAGTGGAAGCCTGCCATGGCTTCTGGTTATGGTGTTGCTACTAGAACTGCTGCTGTATCAGAAATTGTGACTGTAAGCTCTGAAATATGAGACTGTAGCATTCCTCAGATTTCTAAGAATGAAAAAGATTGTTCTGAGATCCCTTTTGAAATTAGTTTGGCAAATTCAACTTAGAGGAGGGCAGGGTGGGATAATGGAGCTCTCCAGAGGTTGCAAGTGCAGTTGAACAGGACATCATAGTTTAATGTAGCCTGTGCTCCATGTGCACAGAGAAACTGAGGAGTAAACAAACACTTCTTTACTTGTTATAGTAATACAAGGTAGAGGAAGGTAAGAAAATGAAAAGGTGGTATTAAAGCCTAGATTTCTATATTAAAATTCATGTCCTAGTGAATGGCCATTCTCCCAACTGATTTCTATCACGACAGGATTTCATCCTGGGTTAAGTGGTACCTATATTGATGCTTACCTTTGAGACTGTGGCATTAGGAAGTATCGTGATGCATCTGGCTACTAAAAGTAATATATGTTATACTTTTTAAATGCCTGTGGTGAGATCATGTGTCTTTGAATACTGACATTTACTGTTTTCTCAGAAAAACGGAAATCACTGTAGGAGATAATAAAGCCCCTTGCACTAAGGGATGTCATCTCAGTGCATGAACGGTTTTCTTTTTGGTTTTTGTTTTTTCATTAAATTTGAAGAGAACCAGACCCTTAAGATAGTAAGTAGAGGATAATGATAAGACTTACATTATGTTTCTTGTTTGCATTCTTAGTATTATCAAAAGAGTTGTTATTAAAATATAAAATGATATTTTAATCTCAGACCTGTCTGTGTATTTCCTGTCTGTGTTGTTAGGGATATCTAATTGGAGGTTGTCTCCATGCCAAGCGTTTAGATCTTTTAATGTTACTGTCAGGATTTATGTAATTAATGATGAACTGTGGTGGGTAGAATTGCAATGATAACTGTGATTTACTGACTTTTATATTTTGGAATTTGCTGGGAGAGGGATGTTGCTAAACAGATGTCCAGTTACCTATATTGGCATATTGCAGTGTATTTTGAAAACTTTTTGATATTACCTTTGGAATCTGCATTGTATATATCAATGAAAGTACAGGCTCTGATTGCTAGTCTGACCAAATATATCGGGTCCCTCTCCATCATTCGAGTAATTATTTCTGTGGTGAAGTATCCTGCTTCTAGGCTGGACTGCTACCTCGAGTGCCTGAATTTTAATTGTCTCAGTTGCACTCTTAATGAATTCCTGGAGTATTTCTGTTAAAGCTGGATGTCTGGCAAATTGTTTTAGTATATCTATAATTACCTAGGTTGTAATCTGTAGGTAATTAAATTAAAAATGACTTAAAACCACCCATTTTAGAACTGTTATTTTAAGTAGTTTTACCCTCGTATCTTATTGGAAATAAACTCATTATTTCACTTTCCCTCCCCATCTCCCATCATGAATACAGTGATATAAATAATGTTCCTCTGGTCCTGTCTTTAACCTGCCATTGTTGAACAATTTTTCCTTGTGTTTATTCTGGTTCAAGTGTGAATGATAAAGAATTACAGGAGGTTGTTGTTACTTTTTCTAGGAATTCAACCCACAGGTTCTGTGTGCTAGGCAATAGATAAGTTATTGCCTGTCTGCTAAGGAATTAATATGCAAGAATGTTTTGGGTTTGGTTTTTTTTTTTTTTTTTTCTGCTTATGACCTGGTAGTAGTAGTGGGAGAGGGGGTTCTTAGATTTATCTTTTTCATTGCATAATATGCTAGATGTGACATGATCTAGTGCCATTTACAGTGCCTGGCTCTGAAGTTCTGTTTTCTGGCTGAACAGAACCTGTCAGAAAATCCAAATCTGAGAAAATGGAAATTAGAGCTCTATCTAGATTACTATATCCAAATACATTGCTAGAATTGTGTTCAGGTAAAGTAATACAGTTTTAGTTGACAGTTGGTGCAAACTATAGTAACAACTAATAAATTTGTATTTATCATTTAAAAAGAATTTGAATTGTAGCGTATTATGCAATAGTCACTGAAGTACGCGGTGGTTGTCAACTGGTTTACAAATCAAATCAGGATTTTTTTACATGTTATTCTGCAATGTATTAGATATCACACACTGTTTAAGTGGGGAAAAAAAAATGCAGCCAAGCAGAAGAATTTGAAACTAAACAAAGACAGAGTGCAATAATTTAGGAATGATAAGGGTGTAGGAGCAATTAACAAATTATTAATTTTTTAAAAAATTGTTTTTAATGAGATGGCTTCAAGTCTGCCTGGTATCTGTGAACACTTCTTTTGCAGGTGGTTTTTTGAAATACTGGGATATCCTAAATCTTCAAAGGCCAACATCATCAATGGTGTGCTGATGACAATTGTGTTCTTCGTGGTGAGGATTGCCGTCATGCCTATATATTACAGCCATGTAATTTCTTCGTTTGGAACAGAGGCTTTCCAGAGATTAGGATTTGCAGCCCAGAGCGCCTGGATTATCTCAAGTGTTGTCTTGGATGTTATGAATGTGATGTGGATGGTCAAAATTGCAAAAGGATGCTACAAAGTCATTTGTCTTATTGGACAGGAGGAAGCCAAAACTCATAGAAATGGAAAATCTGACTAGAAATCATATGCATAAAATGAAATTTCTGCTATGAAAATAGTTTGGATTCACTGAAACAGTGCACATTTTTAACATGGAATGCTCCTTTTAAGGAAACAAGATATTACCTCTGTACTGACCTTACTCTTTCCCTAGCCACACTGCCTGCACACCCAGGGCCACGCTTTACAGATCCTGTCCGCTGAGGAATAGAAGCAAAAGCTCACACAAATGAGTTCTACGTGTCTGTTCTAAGCAGTTACAAGCTACTGGAATTAGAGAGGAGCAGACTGGTTACTTGCTTGCTGTCCACCAGTGTGTTCAAAGTGTTTCACTCAGGTTTCTCAGATTAATGTGTTTTATAAATCCAGTGAATACTGACATCTCTTTTTTTAGAAAACAAAAAAACTCCCCAAACTCCTGATATGGTGCAGTTTCCTGGCAAGTTTCTATGTTTTCCTCTAGGAATAACAATCAAGATTTCATTCTTGACAACTTTTTAATTTTTGCAAGACAAGCTAAAAATGTAGCTTCGATTCTGTGAAGTCTTTTACCGCTTTTCTGTTCTGCCTTATATGAATGCAAACCATTTTGGGAAATTTATGAAATAATTTTATCTAAAATGCTGTATTATAAGACTACAGAATATCTTAAATATTGTTAAAATTCTCTGATCTTGATGGGAAGGATTCACTTTTGCTGTGTTAAACTACACGCAATAGTATATTGTCTAAATTGCCCGTGTAATTTTTTTCATGAGTTAGTATGGTAAATGATGTGTGGAAACAGCATAATTCTTACTGGAGTGGTTTTTCCTTTGCTGCTGCTACCTTTGAGAAGTGCTGCAACTCTCCTCATTATTTTTAACCCTTGACTATTTGGATGTGACGTTTAATTGTAAAGAGATTAATTTCTTCTCTATATGTGATGTATAATTTACAGTAATATGTTTTTATCACAGAAATGACCCTTTTGATATGAATTGTTGAGGGTTTTTGTCACATTTTCTTTGTTAACAACATGAGAAATCTGATGTGTTAAACTGTGCCAAACTTCTGTAAAGCTATATGGTAGTTCTATAGAATGACAGTTCACTTCTGTAGGCACAACATTTTATTTTTTTTTTTTAAACCACGTATTTTTCAATAGGTACTCTGTTCCTTCTGCATACTTAAAGGTTTGGAGGGCTCAGAGAGGAATCTTACCATGTAGGAATAGTCTAGAATCTAATTTATAATATAATTTATAGAAATTCTGTTTTTAAATGATTTTGAGAGCTGTATTTGTGTGTAGCTTGGTTTTGTTTTACTTACTTTAAACCATATCTGAATTGGGACTGATTAACTTCTGTTTTTTTCCTCGATGTGAGGCTTTTTTCGTGTGGTTTTTTTGGTTTTGTTTGGTTTTTGACATTGTTTGTTATATCTTCTGGTGAGTTGTGCTATAAGTATCCATTTTCACTTAGTACTTTAGTGCACATCGCAGTTATTGTAGCAGACTGTTTAAGCAATTTATTCTCTTGTCCTGTTCACTCTAACAAAGCTGGGTGACATGAACTCTCCCCTCTGTAGTTGGAGGTGTGAGTGCCCAATACTGTGCTCTTGGATGAAGGATGCAGCATTCCCCTCTTCCAGGGATAGGCTGCCTGTAAGGCTCCAAGAGGACTGTGTAGGCTGAAATGCCTTATAACAAAGGCAGCTGTGATGAGTTTAGTTTCCCAGTTAAAATGATGTCAGGGAGTATTATTTAGGCTAGCATAATATGCACTTTTATAAGCCTAGTTCCACTGTTTAACGGGGCAGGCTTTTTTCCAAAACTGCTTCCCGATCCTGTCTTGTTAAGGAAGATATCAAGGATTGTTAATATTTCTATTTTTTTGGAAACCGTGCTTATTAATACTTCACAAGCCTGCAGACAAAAGATCTGTTTATGCCTTGGGAAAGTTGGCAGTTGATCTGTTTACCTGTATGATTTGAGTGAGCTCAGTACATTATTTGGGTATCAGTAAATCCAAAGTCTTTGACAGTTGATCCTGTGACCTGCTTTGCTGAAAGAAACAAGTCTCCCTTTTATACTAATTTGCAGAACCTGGTATCTTTTAAAATAATGATTTCAGTGTATTGAATGCAAAATCTAGGGTATGTACAAAGGCTCTGTGTTTCTATCACCTTTATATTTTAAAGGTGTACATGAAATACTTGTGCTTTCAAAGTCACTAGATCAGGGAATCATTTTGTAATAGCGTGTTCCTTTCTAAAATGAATTTTAAATTGAGTAAATTCCAGCATTTTGGAGAATATGTTTGAAAGTAGAATTCTGCCTTTGTTACTTGGGAAGTAGGATGAAAAAAAGATTGATAAGGAAGATGATTTGGAACAACTCTTAAGGTGATAATTCATGAAAACTTTTTGAAATTCATCCCTTCTTAGCATTGATCTTCACTATTTCAGTATTTTAAATTTTTTGTTTTCAATGGAAAACATTTATTAAAGTGGTCCATTTCCTTCACTTCTAGATAGATATGTCTGATAGAAGAAAAAAAAGTCAAGCTAGAATAAAATTATGCTAAAACTACATTTGTAAAAAAAATCAATTCCCTGCATAATACACTTTGGGCAACAATCTGAATGGAAGTGGGTAATTATTTTAAAACATGTAATATTTTTGATTGCTGTACAAAATTAGTGTAATTAAAACAACATTTTGCAATGCATTAGGTTTAAATTTTCTAATTTGTTTTTTTTTAAATGTATTAATTATGTCCTGATGCATCTACTATGTGTCAGAATACAACTTTCTAATTAAAACAATTATTAACACTAGTGTATTCGGCAAGGACTGTAGTAAACAGACTGCGAAGTTGTGATGTACGGAATGCATTAGTGTAAGCACTTTTTACCAGCCATTAAAAGCTTATAATACAGCAAATTAGATAGCTGCAGCATCTATTTTTCAATTGCACTTCATTAATTTTAACTTTGGTGAAATATTGATGAAATCTAATGTTGCAAAAAAAAAAAAAAAAAAAAAAAAAGAAAATGCATGATAAGTAGCATCATAATAAATGCTACCTTTAGAATGTAATGGTATTTTATTAGTGGCATAAAACTATTTTTAACAGATGCATTGTCTAGTGTAAAAGCAGACTCTTGGTATGTCACCAGGTGTCTTTGCCATGGACATAATCAAATGCAAGAAGTTAATCTTGTAAAAAACGCTCAGATACCTTGTTCTTTCTTTTACATTCTTCAGTACCAGGTGACGTAAAATAGCACGATGATCGTGGGAGAGTCTGTCTGTGCCAGTAAGGCCATATGTAGGAATGCAAGTTTCTCTTTTTTTATGGCTTTACTTTTTCATCGAAAGATGAGTAAGTACCACTTTCAGAACTACTACAGGGGAATGGTAGGTAAATTTTGGTTTTATAATTGATTTGTGGATGCAGTACTTGCAGAGAGGAAACGTGCTTCAAATACTCATTTTCTTGGTGAGCATTCCATTGGTTTTCAATGAAGGCAAGAGCCTTACATGATGGAGATGCTTTATGGGTTGTCTGTGCGCATTCTTCAGTGGTAAGAATTACATCTCTGAAGCCTACTCTACCTCTATAAATACATGCTATCTTGAGTAAGCTCAGTAATTTGGTAACTCAGTTTCTTAAAAATCTTAATCTATTGAATAATGAAAAATACCCTATGCACAGGAAAATTAGGGGAGCTGACTTTATATATGAACTCTTAACAATTCCAAATTTTTTATTACAATTTATTAAAAAAAATTAATTGCAGTGTCTGGAAGATAATTACTTCCATCTCTACTTAGAAAATTATGGGAAAAGTTTACTCATAGAGCAGAACCTAACGTTAACCTAAGAGTAAAAGTGTACAAGTGTTCCATGAGTAAATGTGTTCAAGCAGGTTTAAAGAGGAGAGGTGGAGTAGACTTTGAGAACCACAACTATAGCGATCCAGATGTCTTCCTACTGCTGTGGTTGGGACAACAGCAGACTGATACATAGCAGAAAGGTATTTCTATATCTCTGTTCACAGTGGAGAATGAAACTTCAAGATTTTCAAGCTGTATAAGATGGGTTGTCAGTTGTTGGTTGCTGTATGAAAAGGACTTTCTCTACTGGACTTGTGTGTGTTTAAGTATATGTACATACAAGCTTTCCATAAAAGATCATTTAATAGAGGTTTGTAAAATTGTTTTGTGATGCTTCTGCTGAGCCATTCAGAGGAAAATAAAAAGCTGCTTGACAGTTACTCCAGTTTAGGATCAGGTGCAGTGTTGGCTGCTGGTGAAAATCATCAGTAAAGCAAATAAAAAGGGATTAGCATTTTCAGATGAAAAAATGCAAGTGTAGAAGACTCTGAAAAGTGTGGGCAGCCCTCTCTACTGTATAACATCCTACGTTACAACATATCTGGCTACAACAAACTTATTGAGGAAAGATTTGTTCCTGGTGGAGTCCATCTGTGGAATATATTTGACAGGAAAAAGAACAGTATTTCATTGCTGAGATCCTGACAGCAGTCAAATAGTGATCAATATTTATGAACATTTATCCAAACCCAGGTAAAATCTATTTGTTGGACAGGTGAAGGTCTTAGGATTTTCTGAAAGCAACTTAAAAGTTCTTTTTATGGTAGAGATGATGAAGGATGTGCTGCTTGGGATCTTTAGAGATCTGGGATTAAGCATTAAATCATATTTTTAGGTGGTAATACCTGGTAAGGTTTCTTACCCATTACAAATCTCTACTAGCTACCTCCTTTGATGTTCTTACTCTATTTATAATAACCAAGCACTTTATAGCTCAGTAAAGGATGGAAGGTAGCTATGAAGAATAAATGATATTGTTTGGTATAAGAAATATTTTGGCAAAATTTCTTCGGAGAGCAGTTTCATTGTGTGATGTCCTGCACGGAGGGGGTGTCTGATTAAAATGATGTATATAAATGTTTAGTCTAGTTGTAAAGGAAATGTCTTTAAGAGAGTGAATTATGAAGAGTTCGGCATGGCTTGGTATCAACCGTATAATGATTTCAGTGTGCTATTTATAACCTCCTAGATATTGAAATTGAAAGTATAAAAGCAAATAAAATATTCTTTAGCATATCTTTATTTCAATCTGTGTGGGATGTCAAACATTGTACTTGTCTTGTGGACAGGACATGCTTTTACGAGCCTATAAATATTTAACTATATGAGAATCTGCACCCATGTGGAACATGTTGCATGTAAATTGTCTTCCAAGTTTTAAAATTTTGATATTTTAAAAAACTTGCCTGGTTTGAAAGAAACATTGAAATATTAATACTGGGCTGTAATACAGAACATAACATTTTGAATGCAATGCAGAATATATTGGTTTTGCTTATTGTAACCCTATTCCAGTTTCACAAGAGAAATCCATCATATGATAGGAGGAAATGAGCAAAAGGGCTAATCATGAGCTTGCCTATATAATTTGTACACTTAATATGCACACATCGAAATATCCTGGATTTGTTTCTAGCATGCATATACCAAACAGTGTTTTCTTTAATATGGATAGATACCTATATACGTAGAATAATTTAACACATAAGCATAGCTAACCTGATATAAAACCAAATTACAAAAACTGTTGGGAACAAATGAGTTACAAGTTAGTCATAAGTAATAGAATCTGTAATTTTAAAATGTTTCTATAATCTTCTGTCTAAGAAGAAACTTGAGAAATATATCTAACTCATGCACAGCAAGGATGAAAACTATAAATTCTGCTGGACTGATTTCTGGTAAATTTTGACAATCTGGTTTGCAGTAAATACTAATACTGTCACAAAATGTCAGGGCCACATTATTGAATTCAAATAGTAATGTGGCCCAATTGAAGTAGCAATCCTTATCATGGCACAAGAACTTTAAAATGCAATATAACAATTCTTCAGATCAGTGATAAAAGTAATCAGTCTTAGTAAGGTGAATGATATTAGGGGTTTAAATTTACTTTTTATTATAAAAATATTTCTGAGTTATTTGTTGTATTTCAGTGATATTGTAAAGCATTTCTATATTTTGATTGAGTTTAGGAGCTTGCATAAAATGGTATTGGCTGATTATTTTTTTTTCCTTTGATATATGCAATAATGTCAATAAGCAATAAATTGCATGTTGTATGCAAGGTATCGACACTTCATAATAAAAGAAAGGAACACAGTTTCCTATTTGTGATTTTTTTTTTTTCTTTCTTAATATGGTAAAAGTTTATGCACCTATAATGAATGCCTCATGAAAGAACAATTTTCTTTGGGTTCAGTTCAGAAACAACTAGCTTATATGGTTATCTTGAAATTTCAATTTGTATCTATCTTTATTTAAAAAAAGGTGGTGAGGGGGTATAAAGTCTGAGCCTCACTGTTGTTCAGGTGGCTGGACTTTTAAAGGCTGAAATTCTGTGTAGGACATCACTGGGGCGGGGGATGTAACTTAAACTATACATTTTTACTTAACACACAAAACTTATAATCAGATAGTATAACTGTATTGCACTGTATTGTAATACCACACCTTTCAGGATGTAAGCTGGACAGTTGTCTGAAGGCTCTAGGGATAAAGAGCTACTGTTGTCAGTGTGTTATAAATGTGATGTGCTACCCAGTCCCTTACTGAATACTAAGACAGGGAATTAAGTTCATTAATTTGGGAATTCCTGGTTTCTAGATGTGCAGTGAACATATGCCTAGGAAGCATGAATTGTGTGGTAAAACTCAGAGGTTTTTCTGAGCGTCTTCAGAGGAAGTTGCTGGTATTTCATATCTTAACCACTGGCTTCCAAGCACAGGAATTGCTTTGAGTTTTCTTTTGTATTATGCAATGGTTAAATTACTACAAGAAAGCACAAAGCATTCCGGTTGGTATTCAGTTCAATTTGTAAATTATGTTCATAGGATACTAATTTTACACTGTTAGTGTAGAAAACTGCTCATTAACTAGTCAGTCTGTTTGGAAGTGACTGGGAATGTCTGCAAATGTTATTTGGGGTCAGATGCTATATAGGTCAGATTTCCAACTGCTTGAGGAAGGACAATGGGGGCTCGGTGGGAGGCTTTCGTATTGGCACTGAGCTGCTTTTAACACTGAATGGTGGAAAGGAAGGACCAAGCATGGCTGGGAACAAGGGATGCCTTTCAGTGAGCCATTCTTAACCTGACAAATTCAACAAATCTTTCTTAAAGGGTGAGAAATATACCTTTCCCTAAGATGTAGGATATAGAAGGTATTTCGTACATCCACTTCTTTGTCATGTTCTGGTGCAAAGTTGCTCTTAATTTTCTCCCTTTTTTATCACTCTTTGTTCTTGCTGAAAACTTTATTTTCAGTGCTTGCATTGGTGTGATAATTCTGCATTAGGTTTGTTTTTTAAATTTTTATTTACCTTCACAGTGGTAATGTATCACTTTTCAGATGGTGGACTACTGTTGTATCTTCTTATTTTGCTGTGCTTTTCTGGAGTTTACAGTACAATATACCTAAGGGGTAGACTGTGTGATTTGGTGAGGTTGTGACCTTGGTGTTCTTTGTAATGCTTTACATTGAGGAAAAAGTATTTGCTACTTGGCTTACCTTATAAAGGGTGAAAACTATTTTCTATAACGATGACTAAGTAGTGCAAATGTTGCTTCTGGTGGAATGTGGTGGTGGAAAGCAGGGAGACTGCATATCAACAGATAATTACTTTGAGAGGAGAGTGTAGAACCAATTCCCTGTTTGAGAACATCAGAGGGATGTGTTTTACCTTAAGCTGTTCTGCCACCGACTTGAAATATTTGGAAGGAGAGACAACAGTTAGTCTACAGGAGGTGCTTATTAAACTGTGTTGTCAAGTGCTGCAAATGAAAACTAAAAATGGTTGGATCTTATTTAGTGCTGCTTACACAGCTGTTACTGTTAATGTAGTCTTTAGAGATTTCAGCAAAGCCTAAAACTTGGGCAATGGTAGAAGCAATCATAATGTTTTCTAAGGCTTATAATAGCGACTCCGTTATTGACATGGTGCCACTTTCCTAACTCCAGATTCTCAGTGTGCTGTACTAATAATTCTTGCATGCAGAAAGGGTAGGAAACAATTTCCTCTTACATAATAAATACTATAAAAGGGCAAAAATGAGTGAAAGGATGGATATTTTGTATTACTTTATACTTACATTTTTATTTTGTGTGCACACTGAATGGCAATGTCCTTGTTAATAAGGAAGATACTATTTTGAAATAGAGTATGTGAACATGTTCTTAAAAGCAGTCTTGACAGGCATGTATAGAATTGATTTTTAATTCAGGTAGTCATATAACAAGCACTATTCAAATTATATAATTGCTTCAGTTTGTCTTTATGAATCTTTCCGATCTTTTCCAAAAGAAACGGGAATAATTAATTTCTTTCCTTACACCAAAATACATACAAGAGAGTGTAAAGGATACACTTTCAGATTTGAATTCGGATTTTCTTCATCCCAAGTCAATGTACTAACTGGGCCACTTGCAGTTTAAAACTCCTTCCTACTTGAATTTTATTTTTAATTGCTCTAATGAAATGTTTCAAAAAACCACGCTTTTTGAACAGTTCTCATTGTTAGATATTCATAATGAAAGTTTGTCTTGTCTCCCCACCTGCCTTTTGCACTTGACAGCCTATTGTGAGTCCGTGTTGTGGGTAAACATTGAAATAGTCTGCAGGGTTTGTACTTGCCATTAGCAGCAGTTTGTGTGTAGCTCACATCGGATGGGGTGACAGTAGTGTGCCTTGCTCCGATTGCAAGATGAGCCTCATCTTCTCAGTCATCAGACTGCAGTGTTACGCACAGTATTTCATGCATATAGTTAAACTGTGTCTTCTAGCACCAAAATAAGGGAATATTCTTGAAGAGCTGTGATTTCTTTTTCTTGACTAGTTGATGTTTGAAAACCATCTTAAGGAACCTTAGTATCTCCGTAAGTTTAATACTAGAAAGGATACACCTTTACAACATTGCTTCACGCTGCCACTACATTCAGTATTTTTCCTATACTTTAAAAAAACCCGTTATTTGCGCTTGTGAGGGATAATGACTTAATGATCTAGTTCATGCTAACGTAGCTGTGCGGGGCCTAAACGCGAGCCTCGGTACATCAAGTTCGCTGTTGGCAAACTCTGAAACAACTTTTGTACTCTTCTACGTCCCACAGACAAAAGCCAGCAGCCCTCGGGCGCCAGCAGCCCCTGCCCCGGGCTGGGTTTCGGTAACGGTGTGCGGACAGCGGCGTGTGCCCGCCCGCCGCCGCCCGGCCCTCGGCGGGAGCAGCCAGGCGCTCCCAGCAGCC